ATGACTTCTCAAGACATAGCGTTTTGGGGATGTGCTATTTCCATCTATGGGCTGCTCTTTCAGAGTGCCACGAGAACCCCTTAGAACGGTATTGTTTAAAATCCATGTTATGGTAAGTGTGCACGTGAAGTCTTTGTACACTTTCTAAAATCCATACTGTGGTAAGTTCGCATGCTAGTACTCTGCATTCTTTTCTAGAATCCTGTATGGTAAGAGCTACGTGCAGCAGCTTCGTGCTCTTTCTGAGTGGTTTAAAACCCCGGTTCCGCCTTGTGCACCACTCCATCTATGTATCCTCTGGATACCTACTTTAACAGGGTGTTGCTACTAGGGGTATCTGTTGAGATAGTTCCTTCAGCATATACAGAGCGTGCGGTAGCCCCTGTGTGACAGGCCAAGACTAGTATGATTCTAGGCTCTTGGTCGTATTCCCTTAAAGGAATCTATTCCTGATTCCAAGCCTTGAGCTCTACCCCAGGCCCAGGAGTTCTGGCCCTAACAGGTACGTTTTTTGGGGGTATGTAGCCTCGGCCATTGGCCATAGGGAATAATGTCACTGACAGCCGTCCCAGGGGCAACTCCCATGTCTCGTTCCCTACTCAGGGAACCATGGTTACCTAAGTAACCTGAGACGTTTCCCTATTCAATCTTTTTTTTTCCTCGTTCTAAAAAAAAAACTGTGTACACACAAAACCACTGAAACCAACTCAAAGCGATGTAGTATACATTCCAGACCAGTATGTGTCACTGTAATTTTGCTATAAAGATACAGTAAAAACTGAGAAGAAGACTAAGCTGTATACAAACATTTTTGCTTTAGCAATTTTTTATTTTTCTTTACTAAAGCTAATAGGCTCAGTAGCTTCACAATGAAAACAAAACCAAAACTGAATCCTGACAAGAAGTTATTTTATATCATCACTTCTAGTGATGCAACGAGTGGAGTTTGGGCTGCTTTATTAAGCTATAAACCGTCTCGCATCAGTCTGTGTTGTTATGACTATTGATTTCTTCTTTTTCTATACATTTCTTATATACGTTTCTTCCTTTTTTTTCTCTTACGTTCCCCAGATCATCTGCCCACTCCTCAAATTTCCAATCAATCCAATCACTGTCCATCATCAGACTCAGAATGTGGGGTGGAGTGTTCAGTGGAGAATGTGAAATCTAAGGCGACTCTGTCCTGGTACAAAGGAAACAGTTCATTGTCCAACATCACCGTACCTGATTTCAACTATTTATGTCTGAAGCTGGATTATAAGGACAACGGCAACTACAGCTGTGTGATCTCCAATTCACTCATCAATGAGACTAAGTATCTCATAATTAGTGAAGTTTGTTCAGGTATGCCATCATTTGACTTGATTTGATCTCTCAGGATGTCTTTTTATATAATTTTGCCATACAGTCATAGGTTTGGACACAAACCTTGAAGATCAGCAGAAACAAATTCAGTAAAGTTAATGTTTAATGGTTAAATGTGTTCATTGTCATTCTTATATGGGTGCTAAAACTGCCAATGATTCCTTGTTGGTCAAATAACTGCTCTCTGTATTTGTTCTCTGATTATAAGCAGTTACCTTGCTTGAAATCTGTTAGGAATGAGCAGGGCTGGACTGGGACAAAAAATCGGCCCTGGCACAGAAAGTTCAGAAGAACAGCATTTATCTGAAATAGAAATATTTTGTAACATTATAAATGTCTTTATCATAATTTTTGATCAATTTAAAGCATCGTTGCTAAAAGTATTAATTTCTATAATTTCTTCTATAATAATAATAATAATAATAATAATTTCTAGAATTTTCTTCTATAGCGCATTGTGATTGGATGGTTTACGCTGTCAACTGTCAATACAGGAGACAAACCAATGGGCCACTGGCTGCTCATTGTCCGTGCATGATGGCCCCTTAAGTGCGTCGGCCCACCGGGAAAATGCCCGGTATGCCCGATTACCAGTCCAGCCCTGGGAATGAGTTACTTATACTATTACTGTTTTCTTTTTCTCAATTCTAGGCCAAAGCTATAATAGATTGAACATTTTGGGGGGTTTTGGTGGTTTTCTTGGTTTTCTTGGTGTTCTTGCTCTTGTCAGATATTTCTACAAGCGTAAACAAAGAAGACAAAAAGGCAAGTATTACCTACAGCTGATACATGAGCCTTTTGTGGAAAACTAACTTGACAACTATATTGACCATTTTTATGTTCACAATAATTTGCAATGTTTAGCATCATTTAGCATCTTCGATCATCATATAATTACACCATTGAAAAAGTACCAGATTTATATGAGAAAGTACAGAATTGGATATATGTGATAAATAAAAGAATATATAAGCTATGTAAATGTGATAATAATCTATGAAATGAAAGTCTGCAGGCAGTCAGTGGAAGATCTCATGAACATTCTGATGAATTTGTGTTTAATAGAGGCTACGAGTCAAACTGTGACCAGCCAAAATTCCCCACAAGGTTAGACAAGGAAATTGCCGTTTTTACATTCTACGTTTTCACAATAAACTCAGTGAAAACCACTTAATACAAGTTTAATTTATAATGGTGCATTTGAATTTTGTTTTTTTGTTTTTTTCCCCCAGTGGCTTTCAGTTACTCCGCAGACAGCAACCAAATGAGGGGCAATCTTTGCTTTAACCAGGGTGCGAACTACGGGGGAACTATGGCGAGCTCGGCTCCCCCTAATAAGACATGGGCTCCCCTGAAAACGTGATTTGTGAAATTTTGGGGGGTCTCAAAAAATATTGACAATGTGTTATTTTGACGTGCAATTTCAGTTTTGTGTAATGTAATCATCGTGGATTATTATGTGTAAAATTGCAAAAATATAATTCATTCATGCATGACGGCGATTTAAACCTAATTCACTTCAATAAAGATAACTATACATGCTATTCTTGTCATGAGCATCAAGGTGTGGGGCGCTGCGGTGCAAATTCCACTCATGTTTAGTACATGTTAACTCAAAGATTTGAAGAAAAAATATAAACGTTGAATTCTGGTCGATTCTGTGTTAAGGTAAGGCATGTTATTCGCAATTATGTGTTGTGGCTGAGTTGTTATAGGTCTGCGATGTCTTAGGCCTAACCGAACGGAGGAATTATGGTATTCTTCTGTAGCCTGACGACGAGTAACTTTACATTAACTGTTGTTCATGTGAACTCAAAGACAGCCTGATGCTTTGTTTATAAACTATTTGTGGGTGGCTGTTTGTTGTTTCACCTATCAATTAATGTCGATAAAGTATAATAGGGTAAATCCTGTATAGTGATTTATCCTATATACTATAGTGCTTGCATAAAGCAAGTAGTGCATACACTTGTAGCTGTTATGTATCTTTGTAAGTCATTGTAAGCCCTCTTTTGAGGCATGCACAAGCGCACGAACGTTATAAAAAAAAAGACAAGTGGGTTCCCCCAAAGTCCACTATATACACTGAAAATTTTTTTTTGTTGGATTTACTCAATTGAATTATGGACATTGGTTCCACACATTCAGTTTGAGTTCAGTGTCCTATGCATTTATGTGGTTTCATTATAATACTTTTGTGTTAATCAGATGTATTTTCAAAAAGTAATGTGTACATAGTCTTTTCAAGTTATCCTAACATAATTGAGTTATGTTAGATTAAAATTATTATTTTATTTTAGATATATGCTTTGATCATGTTAATTCTGTGCAATTAAATCAAGTTATCTTAACATCATTTTGATAACTTCACTCAAATTAAATTTTAATACAAATTTTAATGGTTTGTTGTTGCATGTTTCATTTCATTTCATTTTCAATAACACAAAAACCTTCTGTAAATCCTTTATTTAATCATTTGAACAATGTGTCATTTAAATGACATGTCTAAACAACATTGTGCTTTCAAAAAGCATAAATAACTTCTCTGATGATTAAATGTAATAAAACTACATATTAGTTTTAATGACTAGTATAAAAACAAAGACAGTTACTGTTGTATGCATAACATAGTGCACCAATATATGTAAACCTTCATAAGAACTTTTGTAAACAAGATCATAAACATAAGTAACATTACACTGCATGTAACTGCGTGTTTAAAAATGAATAAAACATTGTAACTCTAATCATTTATTTCATTTCCCCTTTAGAAACCTTAAAACTGTACCCAAGAACACCAGTACCTGGAACTGTTATTTCAAGAAAAACGCTTTCGTTTCAAAGATATTTATATATAGATTCATTACAAAATCTACTAGCAGTCTATGCTGAAGATCATAGCTTGAATATGTTTTATCATTTAATGCTGTATTGATCAATTTGTCCAGGAGCATTTTTAGAAGACTTGCTCCTTAAAGTCAGCCAAATTGTACTCTTCTGTCATTTTCTCCAAGAGCACTGTCTATATTTGTAATCCTCCTCTTCATGTTTTAATAACTGAAATGTATGTAAAAATGTTGACATACAGTATCTGACGCTTACCCAAACTATAAACAATGTATCTTATTTATGCTAGTTCATCCATGTGTCATAGATTCAGCTCTCTATCTCTATCAACTTTTGAGCCAGTCCAAAGAAGGGCCAAATTCAGACAAAAAGGGATAAAGAAACAAGAGTAGGCAAAGTGGAACAGTCTAAACAACGAGATCACTGTTTACCCTCTGCAGTGGTGTCTTGCATGAAGGCTGCTGGAATTTTCTGGGGTTGATCACTTATAGTCTCAGCAGTCATTAAAAAAGTGGTCCATCTCATTGGTGGAGTTTAGATTTGAAATTTTGGGCCTTGATAGAGAGTTCACCTATGGAGCTAATATTATGACAAAACAATTTGAATTTGAATTGTGTTAAATTTGAATTATTGACAAGTGTTATTTAACAAAACTGAATATTATGTGGGATTTAAAATCGTTTTGAATTTGATTTTGATTTTAAATTTGAATTTTTTTTTACTTGAATATATAACATTTGAAATTTAACACAAATGATTTTTTAAGGCAGAGTTTTATAGACATGTATTTTCGAACAACAGATTTTTTTGTTCTGAATTCTTAGACTGCAAATATCCAGTTTTTAAAAATACAGCTTCAAGTTTTCAAGATGAAGAAGAAATTCGGAACATCAAATTCAATTTTCTAAAATTCAAAACGCAGAAATTCAGATCGTACAGAAAGTAGGTCAGAGGTCATTCACAGGGAAGAGTAGATGATCTCCGAAAAGTGGAACAAAGCATTTTGGCCAATTAGAGCTGCAGTAGTTTTCTGGCGCGAGCGTGCGGCTCAGAAGGTCGCCATTCTTCTGCCTGATCATGAATCGCCCAGAGGTAAGTGATTTTTAAGCATTTATGGTTTATATTTAAATATTATGCTAGCGTTCCCAGCATGTGAAACATTTGTTTAAGCGGTCTGTGGTGTTTTAAAGTATATTTGGTGTAAAAGTGATTAGCATGCCACCGTGTCTACACTAGACCGCAACAGCTTGAAATGACAAAGCGGCCGTTGTAAAGAGCTTGGACTCTGCCAGAAATACAACGGGTCCGTTTGCTCATCCGTTTCCAGATGAGGCCTGCATAACCTGAGTATGTGAAAGAGACTCGTGCAGAAATCAAAAGAATTGAGTGCAACAGCACTCACAGAAAGTTATAGATGCATACTGCGGTAGAAAAAAAAATAAGGATGATATATGATTTAGGTAAGCAAATTTTAGGACGTTTCCCCGAATATCAACACTAATGCAACGAGGCAAGTGACTGTTTTTATGAATGGGTTACTGAATCATTTGCTAATTTAATGAACCCATTCATAAAGACAGTCAGTTGCCTGGTTTCCGAATGAATTAGCAGTTTGAAGAATCAACTGAGTGACTAAATGACTCACTTATTTAAACAGTCATTTGTCGCCACCTACTTGTGGTTTGGTTTTCACATTTAAAAGTACCTTGCATTTTCCCAACATTTCTTATTTGTATATATTTTTTTAATATTTAAAACATTAATCTTATAAAATTATTTGTGTATCTGCAATTTTGTGGTGTAATAAATCACTTTGACACCTCAGCTTCATGAAACAGTCTGTGTAAATACATCCAAAGACTATAGAATATCCCTTAAAGGGACTTTGATACATCTAATGCCACTTCAGATGCAGCTTCTGTTTCCTCTGCAGTGTAAAGATGG